AGAAGAAGAAGAAGAAGAAGAAGAAGAAGAAGAAGAAGAAGAAGAAGAAGAAGAAGAAGAAGAAGAAGAAGAAGAAGAAAAAGAAGAAGAAGACACATAAGAATGAATATAACTTCTGGGACCTGTAAGATAAGTGCAATGTTTTAAGAGAAAGCTCAACACTAATAATATTTAAATGGCAAATATGTTAAGGGACTAAAAGCATTATTGAACTTACTCATGTATAGATGATCGGAAAAATAATCAAGAGTTATTTTTCTTTTAAGAGTGTGGGATATAGTCCAACATTAGATATGGTGGTATGGAAAGTGAGAGTAGGGGGGTCAGAGATTATGACTGTAGAATATTTGTTTGGAGAATTTGGCTACTAATCCAAGTACTGTAGCTGTTCTTGATATAAGTTATTAAGAGAAAATTATAAACCAATGGATCTATTTTCTAAAATCCATGTTAATTTTTACTGCTTCATTTTATGGATGAGATGAAAAATAAGTACATTGTCTACTTCCATTCATGGAAATGAATTAAAATTTAATTAGCCATATGCAGAATTGCTTCCTTGTTCTCTATAAAATTGCTACACAATCTTTCTCCATTTTATGTAAACAACATTAAATCACTGCTTAAGATATCAACATCCATAAAATTAGCATTTTATTATCATGGCTCATAGCTTCTATGATAATTACATTAAGTTTAATAGAAAGATAATAAAAACAAGCAGCTAAAATAATTTGATGAAATGGCGTTCAGTGATTTATGTACATTATTTAAAGCTTTCAGTGTTACCACTATTAAATAAACATGTTTATATCAAAAGAAAATATTTTAAAATATGGTGAAACCAAATGGAATTTCAGACAAAGATCATATTACAAATAAAACTTTAATACTATTATACTATTGAGAGATTTAAGCATTGCAATCGTGATTTGTTGGAGAAATCTTTTAATAATTCATCCCGAGTAACACTTTCAGGTTGTGAGCTTGAATGCAGGTAATCACAGCAATCTGAAAGTACATTTTACAGGAAATTTATTAATAAGGGGAAACATTTTTACTGTTTGATAGTTGCAAATTTTTCTCAAACATAAAATTATCTGCTCAGAACTCCTCACTTCTCTGTTCTTTACAACTGCCTGAAATCATGCCTTCCCTAATCACCAGTGCAGATTACCTGGAGTATAATTTACCAAGTGATACAAGCTGTGTCTCAGTGCCTTACCCATTGTTAAGCATTTCATTACTATTACAAGGGAAAAAAAAACTGCATTCTTCTCTTTGTGATTCATATCGAAAGGGGCACAAAGAAGTCCATGGTACTGGTTTTTCTTAACGGTCTACTAACAAAATAATTATAAAAGCTATTTTATCTCACCACTGGTCCTAGAATGGTGGGGTCTATTGACTGCAAACTGCAACTTCCAAAACCATGAGTCAAAATAAAGAAAACTAAGACATTGTGTGTACAGGTCCTGTCTCTGCATGGTGAATGTGTGCACTATGTAGATCAAACATGTAGAAATAGAAACAAGAAAAAGAAAACCAAAGAAATATTTTCAGTTTTATTAGAGTTTTTGTTTTCAGTTTTGTTAAAAATAATATAAAGCTGACTAACACTGAACTTTGGGTGAGAGATTAATCAGGAGCATTTATACTAATTCAAAACTATTAGATTTTAAACTACACATTAATTATTCTAATTGATTGGGGAATTAAGTGAATCACTGCATTTAAAGCATTTATATAAATTGTACCTAAAAATCTGTGGTGTATATAGGGCTTGGTATTCATGTTATTATTGCTCTTTTTCTTGTTGGGAAAATTGCTGCAGCCTGATAGTTTACCATTAAAAACGTCTGGTGATCATGTTGGAAGCAACAGTTCCATTATAGACAACAGAAGAGAAGGTCTTAATTATTCTTATTGCAAAGAACACAGCAGCATTGATAGCAATTACTATCATTCTATAAGAATGACTACAGTCATCAGTATTATAGCTTATATATTAAGGTATCAAATATTAATGTCTTTAAATGATTTATTGAAAAGTCTAGTGTTACACATTTTAGGCCAAGAAAGCTTGCTCATTCATATACAAATACATGGCAATTGACATGACCCAGGACATTACAGGTCAGAAAGTACATTCAGTAAAACTTGTGGTTTTAAATGTATGAAGGAATGAAGGAAGTGCTGCTGACAAGTTGTCATCTTTGAAAGACCAATTGCTGTACTCCTTTCAGCACCTACATCTCTATTTCTTGTGGGTGTTTCTGTCCTGGACTCTGACTCCAGGCCCTGCCTGGCTACTAATGCCGGAAATCCTGGATGGGCTGTCATGCTCTGTACTGTCTGTTATAATTTCCCAAAGGTCCTTACTATTGGTTCTGAATTCGGCAATTTAGGCTCTCTCTCTCTGTCTCTCTGTCTCTCTGTCTCTCTGTCTCTCTGTCTCTCTGTCTCTCTGTCTCTCTGTCTCTCTGTCTCTCTGTCTCTGTATCTCTCTCTCTCTGTCTCTCTTTCTGTCTCTGACTCTCTGTGTCTCTCTGTCTCTGTCTCTATCTGTCTCTCTGTCTCTCTCTGTCCATCTCTCTCTTTCCATTTCTCTTTGAAATAACTTTATATTGAGCAATGCTGTTACCTCCTTCCATTTCAATAAAGTATCAGATTTCACTGACAACCTTGCTGATTATTTTACCAAAGCAATAGCAGCAATCAGATCATATCTTCATGTTTTCAACACTGTACCTTCTATGCTGACCAGATGACCCTTGTGAAGATATTTGACCATGTATACTTCTTCCATCCGGTTTACACACCACTCCTCCTACAGTATTTCATCTTTTATTTCCTTTACAGACAAGCTTTCGCTATGCAGTTCATACTGGCCTCAAACTTGCAGTCCTTCTGCCAGTCTTCCTGGCGCTGAGATCATAGCTGTGCCATCATGCTTGGTGTTCGTGTTCTTTCTCTCAATTAAATTTTGACCATACAAATATCAGTTCCTTGTCTGCATCACTATTCCTCCCTCTCTATTGCATAATTTCGACCAATAGATAAACCTCACATAAGTTCCTGAATTTAAAATGCGCATTCAAATGCACTTTAAGAGAAATAGAGGGTCTGTACTTCTCTAAAACATATGTTGAAAGATTCTTTTTTTTTTTCCTTTTCTTAAAAATCTATTTGTTGTTCACTTTGGCAGCACATATACTAAAATTGGAACCACACAGAGATTAGCATGGCTCCTGCACAAGGATGACACATAAATTTGTGAAACATTCCATATTTAAAGTAACAATAATAGGGCGGCCAAATAGCCAGTGGATTAGATCGCCTGCAAGCAGGTGCAGGGACCCAGGGTTCAATCCCTGAGCCTGCCCTGCTGGCCTTGCCCCAAAGCACCCTGAGATAGCAATTGAGACTAGGCATGGTAGTGCATACCTGTAATCCCAGCACTTGGGAGGCTGTAAACAGGAAAATTACTATGAGTCCAATCTAGTAGTGTAACCCTTAACACCCTGTAGACCCTTCCATAAAATATAAAAGAAAACAAAATAATAGAAACCTTTGTCCTGCTTCCTTAGTCTATTTCCTTATTCTCAGCATAAGAACACTCTCTTCCCAACTTCATCCTTTCCTACCCACTGTCTATCCTAGAGCCAGCGTCCTGTGAGTATACTACTTTATATGGCAAAGACAAATTGTCCATGATCGATAAGGATTTTAAGACATGTAAGATTTCATGAGTTTTCTGAACATGAAGAACGTAGTCTAATAGGACCTTGAAATATTAAAGAGGGAAAGAGAAGGGTCAGAGAGGAGATGTAACTGTGGAGGAAGACTTTATTTTTACTTTGTATTTTAGGGAAGGGTCTACAGGGTATTCAGGGTCTCATTACTGGATCAGACTGGTAGTGATCCGCCTGTTTACAGCCTCCTAAGAGCTGGGATTATAGGTGTACCACTACACCCAGTCTCAATTGCTGTCTCAGGGAAGGTCCGGGGATCGTACCCCGACCCCTGAGCATGCTTGCAGGTGCTTTAATCCCCTGAGCTATTTGGCCAGTCCTGGAGGCAGACTTTAGATTGCGGATTATCTACTCTGATGATGAAAGGAAGAAGTAAAAATAAACAAAGCAAAACAAAACAATGAAACAAAAGATTCTCTATAGGCTCCTGTAGGAATGCAGCCCAGACAGGGCTGGTTCTATTTCAGGGAAATCCACTTCACACCGCTGTTTTCCAGAAGGTACACTAACTTATTTGTGTTGTTTCAAGCTATTAAGTGTCTGGCAATTTGCTGGAGGAGCAATAGGAAATAGACAGACTCTCCTTTCCCTCTCCATCCCTGTCCTGTTATGGCTTCCTCCCTATTCTTGCGCAGAAGCCACTTGTCTCAGTTACTCTTCTCTCTTTGCTGAGATAAATGCCTGATACTCAAAATGAAGGAAGGAAAGCCTTATTTAGCTCACAGTCAGTGGGAGTTTCAGTCCATACTCAGCTGGCTAGAAGGCAGAGTGGCATATGGCAGGGAGCAGCCATTCATGGTGGCAGAAAAGAGCAAGAGAGCAAAGGGAGTGGCAGCAGCTCAGGCAGCTAGCGGGCCCTTCTCTCCTCACACTGTAATGCAGGTTACCTGCTCCAGGGCAGGTGCAGCACACACACTCACAATGATCCATCCCAAACTCCTGAGAGCCTCCCTATGACTGCATGAGGCTTTTGGGTGATAACTAGACAGAAGCCATGACACCTCTGTTTTCAAGCTCATCATGAATGACCATTTTGTATCTGTATATACAAAATAGTGCAGATAGATATAGACCTACTTTCTCTTAATTCAATGAAGAGAAAGATTTGTTCTAATAGTGTTTGGACAGGATATCATGGCTGCATCTTGTACTATGAATAACCACTAAGAAGACAACAATATGCAATGTACTAATTATTGAAACTGTCCTACTAATTGGTTTTGAAACTGTCTCATTGCTATTTGTTTCTCAATAAAATTACTAAAAATAAATAAATAAATAAATAAATAAATAAATAAAGTGAAAGTAAAAAAAAGCTCATAGATAACACTATGTACCACACCTCAGCAGTGTTTGATATCAGGTATTATTTCCAAATATATGTAACACTTTTGGTTATTGATTCATCTCTCTCAAGAAATAATGTATTCTGTATAAAATCTTTTAAGTCTTCTAAAATTTATTTTTCTGATAGAATTCTAAGAAAAGTGTGCAATTTTTGAGAAATGGTGTGTGTGTGTGTGATATGTGTGGGGAGTGTGTGTGTGCATGTGTGATGTGTGTGTGTGCGTGCATGTGGTGTGTGTGTGTGGAGAGAGAGAGAGAGAGAGAGAGAGAGAGAGAGAGAGAGAGAGAGAGAGAGACCTCTGCAAGGTCCTTACCTAGATGCTAGATATGAAGAGATAACTGATTTAGAAAACATTTTAGTGTACAGTTTCAACTTGAGATTTTTCCCACCTCAAAAGAGCTCAGCTGAGCGATGCTGGCCCACAGTTAGGGTTTCCCAGAGGAGGTTCTTTTATTTTGCCATTTTGTCTCTGACTCAGACTAACATGGGGACAAAAAAACCTTCTGAAGGATATTCTTCCCCTGAACACAACATTTGGGAGCTGACTCTGTTTCCCACCAGGATCCCTCTGCATCTGAACCTTCTCATCTTTCTACATAGATGGTTTTATGATAAGCTCCACATCACTAGGGAAGAGAAAACAAGCTTTTAAAAGATTTCAGAATACCAGTCCCGATGTTAGCTTATGTTAGAGAGCACGGCTTTCTTGCCGTCTTTTGGTAGCTGTTTCTCTAACATTATCACCTGCTCTGTTCAAGCAACTTTGTGACATGAATCAGACCCCACCTGTGTAAACATCATATTGTCTCCCTAGTGTAAGGACCTGTGAGAGGAAATGGGATCTGAAGGGTACAGTGGATATTGTGAAGCAGAAAGAAGTTGTTCAAAGTGAAGGGATGACTGTTAGGAGGAAAAGGAAAGAGGAAAAGAGAAAGAAATATATATGTATACACATAGGAAGAAGCTTGGGTAATTGAACAGCTGATTTCTGCTGGTCTCTTGAAAGGAGCAGTTGATGCTCAATGATTTTTCTTTTTTAATTTTTTATAATTTTTGACCAGTCTTTCAGGCTTAAATCTGATAATCTGAACAACTAAGTTGAAGACAACAATGTGCAATATAACAGCCAGTGTTGAATTTCTATCATTTTGTTTAGTGGAATTCTGTATGTTTTCTAATATTTTTTAACAATTTTTGTATTATCTTTAAAACTTAAAAACAATAATGGTATGCACCATTACAAAATGTCTGTGCTGTGCTTTATCCACATGATAGGTCATCTTCTGTAATGGGGAGACCTCCCTCCACCCACTGCTTTAAACTTGTACACACACCGCTAAAGAGAAGTCACATGCTAATTTTTTCCCTACCTGTTACTTTTTATCAAACTCTTTTACTGGCTTCTCTTTTGCATTTTTAGTTATTTGATGTTAAAATACACTAAGACTCATACAAGATTGTCTATTCCAGATATAAGTCCTCTGTTCTTTCTTATGTAGATTTAAATACCACTATTATATTTTCTGCAGTGTAGACATTGTTGCTATGTTCATAATTCTGCTATATAATTATGACCACAGCAAAAGCACTTGACTAGGATAGTAGCTCTAGATTAGCATTCCACAATGAACAGAACCAGTTCTGTTCCTCAATCTGTCCACCCTCAAGTGCTCACCATTTCTGTGATGCTCCACACCACCTTGTTCAGGGGAACCCACACCCTTGACTCTTTCTTTCCTTTCACTGTCCAAAGGAAGTCATCGGTAAGTTCCCCCGTCCGTCTGCTCGTCCTCACACCACACTGAAGGTCCCCTGTACCATTTCCCAGCTGAATCCATCCTTTCTTGTGCCTTGGTGTAGTCAGCATCTCAGTGTCATCTTTAGGGGACACCAAAGTTGTGCAACCACTGAACCAGTGCTGCTGCCATTCCATACAAATGCTAACAAATGCTCAACTTGAGGTTTGCAAGCTTTCAAACATTTGCCTCATTTTGTTCCAAAAGCTTTGTACACACTTGCACTGATACTCCAATACACTCCAGGCCCTCAGCTATGCTAAGCTGATCCTCCTTCAGCAGAATAGCCCCCCATTTCTCTGTTTAGCTCCAGCCATACTCATTTCACCGCAGTCCTCTGGTGTCCTCATTCATTTTTTCACTTTCTTGGCCTTGAAGAGGGAACTCAGGGTCTTTTGCACTGCCCTCCATCTTTGCCCATATTTATGTTATGGAATATAGCATCCAGCTAAATTGAGCAAGTTGGCCTTGAACTTGTGATTCTTCTGCCTGAACCCCTCAGTGAATTGGGTTACAGGTATGTGCCAGTACACCTGATCTTATAAGGCTCTTCAGTTCAATAGATTCTATTGCAGTTTATGGCCGTGCTTGCATTTGGCACTGGAAGCTGGTCCCAGGTCCTTCACACTGAGCCATATTCCCACTCCAGTTTGAGACATAATCTTCCTAAGTCACAGAAGTGCTCAGCTTGGGCTCAAATTTGAGGTCCTTGATCCTTGCCTTCTCAAGTGCTGGCATGACAGGTAACACTCCATGGAATATTCACTCCTCTGTGATGGCCCATATCCAACTTAAATGCTGCTTTCTCTCACTGCTTCAAATGTCACTTCTCCAAGGGAGTTTTATTGACCTTCCTATTTAAAATTCTATTTTTTTACCTTTCTTTTTTCTGTATTTTTAGGGAAGGGTCTACAGGGTGTTCAGGGTCTCACTAATAGATCAGACTCATAGCGATCCTCCTGTTTACAGCCTCCCAAGTGCTGGAATTACAGGTGCATGCCACCATGCCCAGGCTCAATCACCATCTCAGCATGCCCCTGAGGCTGGGCCAACACGGCAGGCCTGGGGATCAAACTCCCAGCCCTAGCACCTGCTTGCAGGCACTTTAATCTGATGAGATATTTGGCCTGCCCTATAATTTTTTACCTTTTGTATCTAACCACCTACTCAGGTTCCTCAGAATTTTAGTCCCATGAAGATATATGGATTGTCCTGTCTGTCACTACATCACAGAAACTCAGAAGCAAGATTAATAACTGGCCTAGAGAATGTGCTGACTAAACTATTTATGCATGTACAAAATATCAAGTAAATAAACATATGTGAAAGTGCTTTGATAAATACCTGCAAAATCTCCCAACTTGTGTGCCTTGTGTCTAGATGTCCCCCCAAAGCCT